CGCAGACTGCTCCCGCGGGAACCCTCCCAGTGCCCGCGGGAAGGCTTTGCTCCGCCGCGGTCTTCGGCGATCCGTTGCCGCCCGTCTCGCTGAGTCTCGCCACTGGTGCAGTCCGTGCCTGCCCGCTCGAGGACGCCGGGGATCCCTCCCACCTCCCCTCCGCCGCCCCAGGGCCCATCTCAATCCGATCGATCCGATTCGATATCGTCTCTGGCCGGCTCGACCCAATTCGACCCCGATATTCCGGCGATCCGATTCGGTCTGATGTTCGCGCGGCGTTGTCGCGCATTTTGGCGCAGCCAATCCGATTCGAGGCCGATTCTGTGCCAACGCAGCCCGATTCGACGCACATTCCGGTTCGGTCCGAATTCCCGATCTGACGCTGACTGATATTGCCTCCCCCTCGCTACTCGGGCTTACTTTTGGGACAAAGGACGCTAGCCCTGCTGCACAGGTTAGTTCATTTTAACAACGCCCTGAGCGTGTTTTTTTGCGTTTTCTAATTTGGGTTCTTGACAGGCCGAAAACGTTAAAAACACGCCGCGTGCTTTTGGTTAGCCTTTTCAGGATAGTTGCTGTTGGCGTTTTCAGATTCGTCGCTGCGGTCCAGCCTTTTTGTTTGCGCTGTTTTGCTTTATCGTCGAAGGCTCCTCCTTGTCATCTCTGCCAGCTTGGCCCCCGCGCCCCCCGCCCCGCCACCGTTCGCCCCTTCTGCCCCCCCCCCTCCCTCTCCCAGGTCGACGCACCTGCCTTTGACCCATGAGCTGCGCACACGGGGAGGGCCCAAAAACCGGTTCCCGCGCGGAGACCCCCCCAAAAAATGATGTGACACCGCTCTGACACCGGAAAGGGGGGGCGGCAGCAGGGGAGGGCGGGCTTCCGCGACGAGGCACCAGCGACGGCCACAGAAAAGCAAACTCGCATAAAGAAGACGATAGGGCCTATAGGGATACTTTTTGGCTCGCGGCTCCAAGGCGGATGACAGGGAGCAAACACAGCGTCCGGGGCGCGTGACGATGTAAATTGGCCACCGAGGCGAATGCACGTGCAAGGGACAAAATGACACTCATTAAAGCGCAAGCTGCGTCGGCAGGAAACCGATCCAGACATCCCAACAGGTGGGGACGCAGGCGCGGCGACCGGCGGTGGAACGATAGGGATACGCAAGGAGAAGGAAACACGCGATCTACGGGTCTGACAACGCTAAAACATGGTCTGGAAACGCTAAAACAACACGTTTTGTTCTTAGTGTTTTCAGTTTTGGGGTTGAGACATGATAACGCGGAATCAAAGTTTCAAGACGCCGAGCAGAAAACGCTGAAAAAAACGCCCTGGGCAGATGCAAGACGAACCAAGCTGCACAGCGGTGCGCTTCCACGGGCGCTGATCCTGCACACGGGCAAGGCTCAAGGGCATCTTGGGGGGAAAGGCTCGCAAGGTCAGCTCGGAGTCTTCCCCTTCCCGGGCCTCTTTTAAGGGGCCTCTTGGGCCGACGTGGGGGCCCCCGGGGCCGCCTGGGGGCGAACTTGGGACGATTTTGGAGCCCCGTGGGCCGTCTCGGACGCAATGACTACACCTTAGGCGATGCTTAAGAAAACTTAAGCTTTCGGCCAGAGTCTCGATTATTCTTAACGTTTCAATGTAAATCTTAAGATTGTAATAGAAATGTTGGGTTTTTATTCAAGATCTTCCCAACGGCTGTCTGTGAGCACTCTCTGGCCGTCTGGGGCGCGTCACGGACCGTCTCGAGGTTTGCCTTGATCACCGTGAAGCTGCCCTGGGCCACTTCGACGCTTTCGTGGACTGTCTTGGCGTTTCCTTTGGGCCGTCTTGAGGCGCCTCGGGGCTCTGGACAGGCTCCAGGGGCCCCAGGGATGCGTTTAGGAGCTCGTGCCCCCGGCCACGCCCCTTCAACAGTCTTTCGGACCCCAGGGGAAGGAGACAAGGGGAGGGGGACAGCCAACAATTTCACACGCATTTGCACCCTGGGCTAGCGGGGGTCGGCGGATCATTGATGTATGCGCCCATTGTGTTGCGCCGTTTTTTGGCGGGTTGTTTCCTTGTCATGATTGCATTTCGTATTGATTGTATGCGGCACGTGTCGCACGGCTGATGCAACAGATAGTGCAGTATGTGGCGCAATCACCTAATTATGTTTGCACGATACGTCATATTATATGTGTCATGCCATGATGTTGGCACTATGCTCGTATAGCAATGCGTTAATATAATATGAGGCGTCAGCTGTACTGGGTGGCATGTGGCGGTCCAGCCGTTCATACTAGCATTAGAAGCGTCGGTATGTTTGCGGCGTCACTTGCTCACGACGGTTTATGAATGTGCCTGAAGGTGCTTTGCTCGACATAGCCTCGATTACTGCAGGGACAGATATAGCATACCTTTCCGGATGGGATTGGGCAAGGAAAGCACATGCGTTTGAAGTGGTGCCATGGTTTTCGTCCAGAAGAATGTTGCCGATGTGTATTTCTCTCTCTCTCTCTCTCTCTCTTTCGTTTAGTATATCTCTCTCTCTCTATGTCTCTCTTTCTCTCTCTCTCTCTCTCTCTTTTTTTTTCTCTCTCTCTCTCTCTCTCTCTCTCTCTCTCTCTCTCTCTCTCTCTCTCCGTCCAGATTGAATACAGTGTCTTCGTTTTTTCCTCGATTCGTACATGTCCAATGTCGCTCAGCATGCGAGCGTGAAGGGTGGTAGGATGTATGCTGGCCTGGTGCCACGAAGAGCAGTGCCTGTTGCTACCGCCCGCCGTAGCGAACAATTTGCAATCGGGATTCTGGCTGTGTTTGTCGACCTCTGCTGGCAGGGTGTCGTTCGCGCTGGCGCGCCCATCGGAAGGCGGATTGTGCTCGCGCTAGCGCACCCACGGGAAGGCGCAAGTTACAGTGCGTTGACAGCGTCGCGGTATCGGTACAGTCGGACCGAGGTATAAGATCGAGGTCGGTTCGGGGAGGGTACCCTAATGTTCTTCGTGTCTGTTGGTTGTGCTTAGGCATCTTGGGGAGGATACTCTTGGATGTTCTGTTTGTTTTTGCCGGCGAAGGTCTCGTGTTCTTGGAGGATGTTCTTCTGGCCTAGGTCCGACCGTATTGGGTATCACATGAATCTGAGCATTCTCGCTCAGAAATGCAGTCTTCTTGATGTCTGCCAGCCGAGACCCCTTCCCAGCCGGCGGTCAGCATCGAGGGCAGGCAGGCGGAGGAGGAGGAGAAAGAGAAATGAGAGGAGCAGGAGGAGGAGGAGGAGGAGGAGGAGGGAGGACGAGGATGGAGGAGGAGAAGGTGGGAGGAAGAGGATGGAGGAGGAGAAGGTGGGAGGAAGAGGATGGAGGAGGAGGAGGAGGAGGAGGAATGTCGCCGCCGCCGCTCCGCTGTCTGCCTTGCTGCTGCCCTGCTCCTCCTCCCCTCCTCGTGCACTTCACTGTTGCGAACACCGCGGGCACATCGTCTTTCGGGGAAGTGCGCAGCAGCAGAAGGGAGGAGGAGGGAGGAGAAGGGAGGAGGAGGAGGGAGGAGGAGGAGGAGGAAGGGAGGAGGAGGAGGAGGAGGAGGAGGGAGGAGGAGGAGGAGGAGGAGGAGGAGGAGGAGGGAGGTCAGACGCGGCGGTCGCTTCGACCAAGTCGGTGCAGCATGAAAGCAGGAGGAGGGGGGAGGGGGAGGACGAGGAGGAGGGGGGAGATGGAGGAGGAGGAGGAGAAGGGACAAGGGAGGAGGAGGAGGAGGAGGAGGAGGAGGAGGAGGAAGAAGAGGAGGAGGAGGACGACGACGATGAGGATGCAGGAGACGGGAGGGGGAGCTGCAGGAGCCTGAGGAGGGAGGACGAGAGCACACCCAGGGGGTATCAGCGCTGTTGCTGTATATGATCCATCACGTCACCGCCTCGAAAAGTCCGTGCGCGCCTTCCTCTTCACCACTCGACCCGCCCACCTGGAGGAGCACCCACTGGGCCTGCCACTCAGGCCGAATCTTTGTCTTGAGCATGATCTGTGCCTGGAGTGCGAGTTGTCAAGACCGCGACAGGCTTCGGCCATACAAGCGCAGCGTAGCGAGATGTCCAGCGAGGGCCCGCTTCGAAGAGGGCCCGCCCCCCATCCGTTTCGGTGTTGCACAAGTGTGTTGCACAAGTGTGCCGTCTTGGTCACCAAGTCCGAGGAAGTTCAGAGCGAGGGCCTCGTGTTGAAAAGGAGCCGCCAGCCCTCCGTGCAGCTGTCACGTACGTTCAAGCTTCTCATCGTTGAACTTTTTGGGGGAATTTGAACCAGAGCCCCATTCTGGAAAGAGGCCGCCCTCCACCCCTGTAACGGCTGCATGCTTTCAGGACGAATGCGCACGGCACTGAAGCGAAAGCCCCAGTTTGACGAGGAACCGCCTTCCATATTTGTGACTGTTGCGAGAGGTTAGAACAAAGATGCGCGGCACCAACGCTGTAGTAGCCCCATTTTGAAAAATAAATCGCCCGCTATCTTTGTAACGAATGTGCGCAGCACTCATGCGAGAGCGCCATCTTGAAAAGGGCCCGCCATCCATCTGCGCAGTGATTAACACCCGACCCGCACTATCGGCACGTCGTGGTGTGCGACATGGAGGAGTTATCTATAACAAGTCAAAGGAATGGACGAGGAGGAGGGAGGAGGCAGCAGAGGGTAGAGGGAAAAGCGGAGGCGGTGGAGGAGGAGGAGGAGGAGAAGGAGGAGGAGGAAGAGGAAGACGAGCAGCAAGAACAGGAGGACGACGCGAAGGAGGAGGACCAAGAGGGGCAGACGAGGAGGATGTGTTGGGAAGATGGGGAGAAGAAGCCCGACGAGGCGGAGAAGAAGAAGAAGAAGAAGAGGAGGAGCAGGAAGAGGAGGAGGAGGAGGAGGAGCAGCTGGACGAGCTGGAGGGGGGGGGTGACTTGTGGGCCAAAGGTTTCCGCGCCAGCCCCCTTCGAGAACCCCTGCGCTCGCGTGCGGAGCGCGCAGCCGTGCCCTGCTGAGGGGGCGTGCCAGGACGCCTCCTGGACAGAGCAGAAGCCCACGGTACGCGGCCGACCGGGTCCCGGTCGAAGCTGGCGCGTCCATGCGCCAGTTCTGGGAGGACTTTGCGCCCGCCGCGGGCGCTTGCTTCGGGGGGGTCGTGGGCGGGTGCCATCGGTTTGTCGTCGCAGGTGTTGTCGTGTAGGTTCGATTTGGTTTCGGATCGCTTTCGGAGGGCATCGGGGGACACCGACGGGCCACGACGGTTTTGTGTTTGGATTGTCCTCGGAGGGTTGCCAGGTGCCTCTGGAGGTCGTTCTTCGCTGTGCGGGAGCAGTTCACAGCACATAAGCTTAAGCGCAGCACGTGCCATGCTCGACGCACGAAGGAGGAAGAGCACAGGAAGGAGGGGCGGATGACGAGGGCGAGGCTTCCTCCCGCGGGCGCGCCTCCTCGCTCCCCTCCCTCCCTCCCTCCCTCCCGCCTTCCCTCACTCCTCCCGCCTTCCCTCCCTCCCTCCCTCCCTCCTTCCCTCTCTCTCCTCATCCACCTCCTCATCATCAGTACCACCATCATCATCATCATCATCATCATCAGCAGCAGCAGCAGCATCATCATCATCGTCTTAATCGCAATCATCATCATCATCATCATCATCATCATCATCATCATCATCATCATCATCATCATCATCCTCATCATCAGTATCATCATCATCATCAGCAGCAGCATCAGCATCATCGTCATAATCGTCATCATCAGCACCATCATCATCACCATCATAATCATAAACATCGTCAGCGTCATCGTCAACTTCATCATCTGCAGCAGCATCATTATTATCATTAGCAATATCATTATCATCGTCATATTAGTTAACACCAGTATCATCACGAACATCACTAACATCATTATATGCATCAGCATCTTTATCGACAACAGTGGCAGCATCATCATCATTATTATAATCCCCATCATCATCAGCAGCATCATCACTCTTCTTCTCCTCCATCGATCTCCCTCCTCATCTTCCTCCTCCCTCACCCTCCTCCACCTCCTCATTCTCCTTCTCCTTCTCCTCCCTCCTCCCTCCTCCTGTTGCACTCGCTACACGTCTTAGGCTCCTCCGCTCGCACTTTCCGTCCCCGCCACAGTGCCGCTCGCATTTGCGGCGGCGTTGTCGGAGGCAGCGCCCTCGCCCTGACCAGTTGGGGCGCGCCCCGCTGCTGCACGTCCGCCCTGGGTGGGTGCAGCTTCTCCTCCCTCCTCCTTCCTCCATGTTTTTCCTCCACTCCTCCTACTCCCTCCTCCTCCCTCCCTCCCTCCACTCTGCCTTCCTCCCTCCTTCTCCTCCCTCCTCCCTCCCTCCTCCACTTCTGTTCTTTCTGAATAACTCCCCCATGTCGCACACCCAGGCGTGTCAGCAGGGCGGGCCGGGCGTTTCGCCTGAGACTTCCTCCCCACTAATGATCCTGAAGCTTGATATCTGCAGCGGCTTCAAGGATAGAGGGCGGGTCGTTTTCAAAACGTGGCTCTCGCCTCAGCGCCGTGCGCATTCGTTTGAAAAGTTTGCAACAGTTTCAAGGATAGTGGGCGGGTCGTTTTCAAAATGTGGCAAAGTGTGCAACAGCTTCGAGGATGGAGGGCGGGTAGTTTTAACAATGTGGCTCTCGCTGTATCGCCGCGCAGATTCGTTTGAAAAGTCTTCAACAGTTTCAAGTCAGGAGGGCGGTCAACTTTCAAAATGTACCTATCGCTTCAGTGCCGCGCACATTCTTGTTTGAAGTTTGTTTGCACCATGTTCAAGGATGAAGGGCGGGCCCTTTCCAAAATGTGGCTCTCGCTTTAGCACCGCGCACATGTGGCTTCTGAGGCTGCAACAGCTTCAAGGATGGATGGCGGGTCGTTTTCAAAGTGTGGCTCTCGCCTCATCGCCGCGCACATTCGTTCACAAAAGTTTGCAACAGTTTCGAGGATACGTATGGTTGAAATCCCAGGAATTGTGTTCTGGCACGAGTTAGGACAGCCAGGACGCAACAGTCACGTTGAGTCGCGGTGTTGAAGTCCCACGAGCGGTGCTCTGGCACGACTGAGGATTGTCAGGACGCAATAGTGATGTTGATTCGCGGCGTCAAGTCCCAGGAATGGTCTGTTGCCCTGATTGGGGATTTTCAGACGCGTGCCTTCCAATGGGGCACGTCCCCCAATGAACGCAAATGCTCGTAGGGACCTATTAAGAGGAAATTTGGAAGGAGGGTTGATTGTAACATCATTGATGCGTCTTGGGCTCACGCTTGTCTCTCCTCCTCCTCCTCCTCCGCCGCCTCCTCCTCCGCGACAGTGACACAGCCAGCGTTTTGCCAGCGGCGCGAAGGTACAAGAGAAGCGCCCGAGCAACAGAGACAAAAGCTCGCTCCTCCTCCCCCCTCGCCCCCCGCCCGCCCCCCTCCTGCGTGCTCGGCGGCCGCCCCCCCACCCCCCCCTTACCCTCGCCCCCCCACCCCCTGCGTGTCCGGCGGCCGCCCCCCCATCCCCTCGCCCGCCCCCTCGCCCGCCCCGCCCCCCCCCCCCCCCCCTCTCCCTCGCCGCCTCCCCCCCCCCCTTCGTTCTCGGCGACCACCCCACCCCCCGCGCCGCCAGAGGAGCCGCCAGAGGGTGCCCCTCGGCCCGGTGCGTGGGCGACGGCGCTGCAGCCAGCGCGCCCCCGGGGGGAGGGCGGCAGCAACGCGGGCGGCGACGCAGCTCCCTCCACTTCCTCCTTGTACCCAGACCCCCTGGAGCCATGAAAAAATCACGACGGGAGGTTTTTCCATATTTTTGCTGCCTCTGGGGGCCCTCACATGCCGTCACCGAGCCTCGGGACCATCAAAAAACGGCTCAGGATGAGAAACCAGTCCCGGGGAGTGGGTCCAGACCTCTGGGGGTCGACGTCATAAAAAAAATCATGACGTCGGGGATCTGGGCTGTAAGGCACCACGACGGGAAGTTTTTGGCAGTTTTCGGGCCTCCGGGGGCCCTCGCCGGGTCCCGGGATCGTCAAAGAACGGCTCGGATTGAGGAGCCGGTCCCGAGGAAAGGGTCGGGACTTTCGGGGGCCCGCGCTGCGGAGAAGAACACGACGCAGGAGTTCTAGGTCTTGGGGCTGCTCACGCAGGCCTTCCGAGTGCGGCCCAAGCAGATGGTGTCGGAGAATATCCCGCATCGCCGACGCATCGGTGATGCGGCTCCATATGGAGCCCGAGCTTCTCCACACCGACGTCGCCGATGAATCGCCGACTATGCCGATGCACCGGCGATGCATCGGCGATGCGGCACGATCTTCTGGCCCCCATCTATTCGAACCCCCTCTGGAAGGCCTCCAAAGATGCTTCAAGCTGGCCCACGAGAGGCCCAAATGCTTCAATAGGCAACCAAAAATCCATAATTGCTGCCAGCCCGCCTTCTTGCTCCCGAAGGGCTCCAGAGGCCTCAACATGGCTTCAAGAGGGCCCCAACCGAGCCCCGAGACAGGCTCAGGACCCCAACCCCCTCTACTCAGGCATCATTTGGGAACCCTCCAGCTCAAGATGGGAGTGAGGACTGGGGGGGGAATATCATGGCTGCGGCCATGGCCCCCTCTTCCTCTTATTCATCCTCCTCATCCTCCCCCTCATCCTCCTCCTTCTCATCCTCCTCGCCCTCCTCCTCCTACTCTTCATCCTCTTATCATATTTTTGGGATGGTATAAGGCATAATTGGACGAGGAGGAGAGGCAGAAGGAAGACGAATCGGGAGTAAGGAGGGAAAGGGGATCGGGGGGGGGAAGGCAGTCGGTCAATGTTGAGCTATATTGGAGCCGTCTTGGAGCGATCCAGGTCCGTCTTAAGGGTGCAAGCCCCTGTGGAAAGATCCTCGCACCGCAGGAAAGACGTCGGAGGCGGCCTAGGGAACCACCCCGAGTCCTTCTGGATGCAGAGCTGGGCCCTCCAAGGTGGGAACGCGAAAACATATCTCAAGCACCATATACATATATATATATATATATTATATATATATATATATATAATATATATATATATATATACATATTGGTAAAATATGCTCCGCGGCGCAACCGTGTTTCGAACAATATGTTGGCACAATGTGTTTCATGGCCATCCCGTGCTATCGTGCCCCTGTTTTCTTCAATCGGCTGCGCCGCACGCCTCCATCCTTTCTGGGCCCTCGTTTTCTGTCCGCCCGCGCCGCGCGCCTGCCGCGTCCTCCCGCAGTCCCGCCTCTTGCTGCTGCTGCTGCGGCTGCTGCGGCTGCTGCTGCTGCTGCTGCTGCTGCTGCTGCTGCTGCTGCTGCTGTTGCTGCTGCTGCTGCTGCTGCTGCTGCTGCTGCTGCTGCTGCTGCTGCCGTTTCTGCTGCGGCTGCTGCTGCTGCTGCTGCTGCTGCTGCTGCTGCTGCTGCTGCCGTTTCTGCTGCGGCTGCTGCGGCTGCGGCTGCGGCTGTGGCTTCGGCTGCTGCTGTGCTCGCTGTGCACTGCACGCTCCCCGCACGGATCGCGCCTCGCGGCGACCTCTTCCTATTGCCCCAGTGGGCGCGCCGCCCGCTCGAACACCGTCCCCGCTTGAGCTCGGCGCTCAGGGCCGAGGATCCGAGTTTGCTCAGGCCGTGCGAACAAATCGAGCGACTCTGGCGAGGTGGGCATCTTGGGCCTGCCCCCAGGGCCTCCAAGACGGCCCAAGAGGCGCCCCCGAGAGCGACCCAGGACAGCCACCCCCCTCCTGAGCCCTCTTTGCGAGCCATGGTGGCAATGTGGAGTTCCAGCCGCGCAGAAAGCCACGCAGGGATCCCGAAGGGCGCGCGAGCGCGCCCGGAGCGCCCTGAAAGTCCCGGACTTCGGGCGTCCGGGCCCCCGAGGGAGCACTCGACGGCTCTCCCCTGGCAGTGCCTGCGCTGACGGGCTCTCTCACTTGTGCAGTACGGACTCGTGGCGTAGTCCGGGCTTTCGCCTGGGGAGCGCCCGTGGGCGCTCCCCAGGCCATGTTGGGGGACGGTTTTTTGGCCATGTTGACTATTTGGGTGCACGTTTGACTATTTCCCATTTTTTGTTAATAAAAATCCGCCTGTAGGAGGACATGCCCGACCTGAACATGGCTTGCACCGTACGATTTGCACCACATGAGCGACGCAAGAAAACAGGGTCGCATTCGCCGACATTGGCGCAGAAGCTCCCCGCGTAAGGTCGCGCGTAAGCGCCCTCGCTTCCAGTGCAGCGTGCCGCGCCGGCGGCCCGCGCGAGCCACCGCGTAAGGTCGTTGTGCCATCACGCGTGAGACCACTTTTTCTTCGTCGCCCACATAACTTGCACCACACAGCTTGCACCACGCAGAATGTACGACATGAAGTGACGCACCTATTTTACACATCCAGGGTGCAAGAATCTACGATTTGGGCCGACACAGGCAAGCATTCCATACACTGAGCTCGAAGGGACCTGAGGACATGCCACTCAGTGCATACGGCACGGTGGCGGGTGTGTTGTTTCTCGATCCCAAGACTGTTCGGGGAGCTCATGGGAGCTTTTGGGGGCCTCGGCCAGAGTCGGAGTCGTCAGACATGTTCGGAGTCGTAGGGTAATCTTGAATACTTGTCGGTGCCTTTGGGGATGGTCTTGGGCCATTTGGGAGAGTCTTGAAACCGTCTGGGGCCAGTCTTGCGATGCCTTAGTGAGGCCGTCGCGCAATCTGTGGCCGTCTTGGCATTTGGGGGCGGCTTGGGCTGTTTTGTGTTTGCATCGGGAAATCCAGGGTGGGGCTCTTAGACCGTTGGGGGTGGCGGCCGGAGGTGGCCCCAGGACTGTCCGAAGACCTTTTGGAGGCAACATTGGGGCCTTCAGGGTAGCGAAGCATAGTTTCCGAACACGTGGTCTCCATTGCCTGTCATCTCTGGAGCTTGTTGGGTGGCCGTTTGGAGGCCTCTGGGGAGTTTGTGGGCCTGATTCGGGTGACTTGGGGACATCTTGGAGACCACTTGATGGAAGGCTCAGCACCGTCGGAGCGATCTCACGGGGACATTTTACGGTGCATCTTCGGGGGATTTCGTGCGTCCCCAAAATTGGTGTCTTTCCCTGAGCCCGACGCGGGCTTGATGCGGACTCGACGTGGATCTGAGACGGATTCGACACGGATTCGACAGGGGTTCGACGAGCCCGACACGGATTCGACACGGATTCGATGTTCATAGGGCGCGACGGGATAGACGAGGTCCCCCGCAGATGCAACATGAGGGCATTGGGGCCGTCCTTTGAGGCCTTGGAGCTTTCTTGGGCCCGTCTTGAGCGAGTCTCGGACCGTCGCCCCCAACCGTGGCGTGGCGACTTCGCGTGCGTCTCCGACCCCTGCGAAACGGGCCTCCACCTCTCCAGCGACGGGGTGAAGGCGCCCCTCGGCCAGGGCAATCCTGGAGCCGCCATCATTCCTCCGTTCGTCCACCCAGCTCCCATGGGGCTCCCCCAGAGCTCCCCGAGTGCCCCCAGGGCTTCCCACAGCTCCCGGGAGCTCCCCGGGGGCTCCCAGGGCTCCCCGGGAGCTCCCAAGGGGCTCCCCAGGTGTTCCCAGCGTTCCCCGAGAGCTCCCAGGAGCTCCCCGTTTGTTGGCAGTGCTCGCCGGGAGCTCTCTGCAAGTGTTCCCAGGGGTCGTCCATGTATCTATATGGTGCCGTGTTTTGCTTTGTCTTGTTGTGGCTCATGTTGCCTTGGCTTGCCCAGGCCTGCGTTGTCGCATAGTTTGCGGTGTGCCATTGTATGGATGTGTGTTCTGTCGTGTTGTGCTATCCTGACAGGGCTGTGCTATCCCATATCCTCTCACCATGTCCTACCTGCGCGCATGCAAATCCACCGCAAAGCCGAGTGCACACCCAACAACTGACAGAATTGCATCGGAATGTGTACAGCGCCGGGGGCAGCAGCATCCATGGCGTCATCTGCTCAAGCACTTACAGGGGAGATAAGCCAGCTAGCAAACGGGACGGCAGGGTGCGATATCCACCAGCAACTTTGCCGTCGTCGTCGAGGCGAGGAGAACGCTTGTCCATTGCTTTCTTGGCTGTTGGTGATCTGCCCTCAGCGCCGATGCTCGCCCGTGTGTTCCTCTGTGAGTGTACGTGCGTGTGCATGTGTATGTGTGTACATTTGCTGTGTCTGGACGCGTGCGTTCTTGTATGTGCGTGCCTGTGTGGGTTGTGAGGGCGTGTAAGAGTGTCTGTGTGTGTGTGTCTGCGTGTGTCTGTGTCTGTGTGTGTGTGTCTGTGTGTGTGTGTGTGTCTGTGTCTGTGTCTGTGCCTGTGTGTCTCTGTGTGTCTGTGTGTGTGTCTGTGTGTGTCTGTGTGTGTCTGTGTATGCGCGTGTCCGTGTGCGTCTGTGTGTGTGTCTGTGCGTATCTGTGTGTTTGTGTGCGTGTTTGTGTTTGTGTTTATGCTTGTGTGTGCGCGTGTGTGTGTGCGCGTGTGTTTGTGTGTGTGTGTCTGTCTGCGTGTGTGCGTGTGTGCATGAGTGTGTTTGTGTGTGTTCTACGACCTTTCGCTGCGCGCGGGGCCGCGACGCCAAAAAGGATATGTGTGTGTGTGTGCGTGCGTGTGTGTTGTGTGTTTGTTTTGTGTTTGTGGTGTGCAGCGTGCGGTGTGTGTATGGTGGGTATGGTGTGTGCGGTGTGTGGTGCGCGTGTGATTGTGAGTGTGGATGTAGGTGTAGGTGTGAGTGTGAGTGTGCTATGGGTGTTCGTGTGCGCAAATGAATGCGAGAGTGTGTGTGTGTATGTGTCTGTGTGTGCGGCGTGTGCGGTGTAGGCTGTAGGCGGTGTGTGCGGTGTGTGCGATGTGTCCGTATGTGCGTGCGTGCACGTGTGCGACCGTAGCTTGGCTCAAGGCCTCTCCCGGGGGGACCTCCCCCGGGGTCAGGGCTCGAGATTGACCGAAGCGGCCTGGGCGGCGCGGCCGGGCCGCCGCGGCCGCCGCGCCGCCTCGGCATGTCTGCCCGCGGCGGCGCTGGGCTAGCTGGGGGCCCTTGCGCTGGCGGCGCCGCGGGCTCTGCCGCGGCCACCGGCGCGGCCGCCGCTTCCCGCGCGGCTGCGCTGGTTCCGGCCGCCGCCTGCACCGCGGCCGCGGCCGCCGCCCCCGTGGAGACCCCGGCGGCGCGGCGGCGGCGGCAGCGGCGCGCTGCTGCTGCCCGCGCCGCGGGCCCCGTTGCCGCAGGCGCTTTCTGCGCTGCGGCCGCCGCGGGCGCCGCGGGCGCTCCCCGCACTGCGGCGGCCTCCGCTGCCGCGGCGGCCCCGCCGGCCCGCGCGGCGCACCCCGCTGGCCGCCGCGGGTGGCCGCGTGCGCCGCCGGCGCCCCCCGCGCCGCGGCCGCCGCCTGTGCCGCGGGCGCCAGTGGCGCTGCGGGGGCTGCGGGCGCCGTTGGTGCCGCGTGCGCGGCCTGCGCCGCGGGCGCCGCCGCCGCCGCGGCCGCTGGCGCGCTCGATGCCGCCGCGGCCGCCGCGGCAACCGCGGCCGCCCGCGGAGGCCGCCTGGGGCGCTTGGGCTGCTGGCGCCGCGCTGTCCCAAGACGAGGCCGCTGGCACCCCGGCCGCGGCGCGGGACCTCGGCGCCCGCGCGCCGACGCCCAGCGAGGTTGAGGAGAAGGAAAAGAAGTCGACGGCCGACATCTCCAACAGTCGTCGGCACGGCGAAACTACGAATATTGGCGACAGACGTGTACAGTGTCTCTGCGCGCGTGTGTGCGCGTTCGTGTGTTGCGCGTGTCTGGTATGTCTGCGTGTGCTTGTGTGTGCTTGCGCGGAATGAGTGCGTTCGCGTGCGTCGACCATGTGTGGCACATTTGCTGAGTTGACGTTTGTAGGGGGTGTTCGGGAGGAGTGCCACGTCCAGTAAGTGCTATGGCATCGGGGGGCGCGCCCGTAATTCTCACCGGCCTGGGCGCGGCCTAGCCAGCCACGCCGGCGCGTCAACAGACCGCCGAGTCGGACGGCAGGTTCCGGCGCTCTGGAATGACGATGTAGCGGGGGTGCGCATGTGCAGATTTGCATAGTTGATGGCTCTATCTTGTTTCCTCACTGCACGATGTTGGGCCAAACGCGCCTGGGCGGGGCGGGCGGGCACGACTCGCTTCCATGCGCACGCAGGGGCGGTTGGACTCTTAGAGTCTCCTATACCTGGGTAGCGCATAACCGGTTGCTGCTTGATCACCGGTGATTGGGTGGCTTTGGTTCGGGTTCCAGTCTGGCGTCCATACTCAGATCCTCAAGGCGCATCCCTGCGGGCGCGCGCAGGAGCAGTATCTCTTAAATGGCCCCCCGACCTCTTCATGTTTCTGTGCGGCTTGGAGTGGGTGGGGGTGGCGCGACTGGAGTCCGTCCTGCGTCGTCAGGGGAACCCGCTGGCCGGAACGCCGTCGCCTTCTAGGTCGCCTTTCCTGGCGCTGGGGCGCAGTCTTGAACTGCACCTCTCGAGGCGGTGGCCTCGCGCCCTGACGACGCGGAGCCCGCCCCCACGGCGCCGGGAGGTGGCCGCGCACCGCCCCCCACGGAGTGGGCCCCTCCTGGCCAGCAGAGGAGCGATTAGAGCAATCCGGGTTTCGAGAGGACGCGGGCTCGCCCCTGGGTCCGAGTCGCCACGGTTGATTCGAGCGCACCTGAGTGCTGCGCGCAGTTGGTAGGGCGTTTGTGCGTGGCGCGGGGTGTCTTTGCATGTGTTCGCGTGGCGCGTGCGCGCGCGCGGCGCGGGCGCGAAGTGCGCGTTGTGCGCACCTGCAGGGGCGCATGCAAAGCTGTCTTGAGCGCTCCGATGTTTTATTTCGCGCTGCCGCCGCAATCGTCGGCATGTTCACCCAGGACGGGCGTCGCAAGGTCCGATATTCCCATGAGGCGCCGTCATGGTATAGTGGATGCGCCCCCAATTTACCCAGTTCGGGGATCTGGCTTCCAATGGGGCCTCTGCATGCGGGTTTTTGGGTCGGGGACTGGTGTCCAGGCCCTGCTGGGGAGACGAAGGGCGGCACTTTCGGGCTACATCCCCTTCCACCAGTACCAGTACCACGATGGCGACCATACGCATTTTCTTCCAGAACGGCGCGACTGGCTCCGCCAGGGGTGGCTGGGCGCGCCACGCGGGCTCTCTGCCGCGCGCCCGCGGGAGCGAGCTGGGAGTGCATGACCCCGTTTTCTGGGGCCCCGCTGGCCTCACTGCGGGCGGTGTCGCGAATAGCTTCGCCCACAAGCGCCTGGTTGAGCTGGAGCAAGGCCGCGTGGCCGCTCTGGCGGCGACGAGCTGCAGACGAGCGCATCATCTCGGAGATCTCCGGCACGCTGCCAGGGCACCCGTCGCCGTCCGCCTGCCGGAAAATCACGGACAATCCAAGCGACTTCAATTCGGCGCGAACGAAATGGGCACGGAAAGAATGGGCACAATGCTCAACAGCAGTTCTTGTTCATGTTGAACGGGACTCGCTGTCGGCGTCGCCGCGGCCTGTGTCCGTTTGAGACAGGAGGCCGCCTGCCCGAAAGTGGCCGCCGTTGGTTTGGGACAACACTTGTTGCCGGGCATTGTACCCATTCTTTCCGCGCCCATTTCGGGCGCCCAAATCAACGCGACCTCCACGGCGCTGACGTCCAGCGACGCCGGGAACAGGCAGGAAAACTTGGCGGCTGACTTCGCCAACGGCCGTCTTTTGGTCACGATGGCGATCACGCGAATGCTCTTCCACGGCGGCTTCACTGGCTCTGCGCGGGCCGAGTGGGCGCTCCACACATCGCCTTCTGCCGCATACGGTCGAGAGTGAGCTGGGCACGCAGGGCCCGGCGCACTTCCAGGGCCCTATCGGGCCCACGGCGGGCGGCAGCACGGAGGACATCGCCGGGAGGCGACAGGCGGAGGTCCAGCTCGGCCGATTGAGCACGTCGACGATGATGGGGCACATCACGCAGGAAATCACCGACAAGCGGCCCGTCAATATTTGCCCCCCGCCAGCCCGAAGGTCGCGGACATCCCGCGCGGCTTCGAGGCGATCTTCGAGATGACGCCCCAAGACGACTGGGCGCTCTACACGAGCTCTCCGCCGCGCGCGGTCGAGAGCGAGCCGGGCGCACAGGGCCCGGCTGACTTCCGGGACCCCATTGGGCCCACGGCGGACGGCAGCACGGAGGACCTCGCCAGGAGGCGACAGGCGGAGCTTCAGCTTAGCCGAGTGAACACGTCGACGATGGGCCACATCATGCCCGACATCTCCGGCATTCTGCTTGTCTACCTCTCGCCTCCTGCCAGCCCGATGGTCGCGGACATCCCGCTCGGGCTCGAGGCGATCTCCCAGGCCTCCGCGACGGGCTGCGAGCAGAGCGTGGCCCTCGGCACGCTCTGCTAGCTGTTCCAGACCCAACCCGCCGATACTATCGCCGCCGCGGGCGACGTCGGCTTCCAGGCGCTGACGCCCAGCGACGTCGACGAGGTCAGAAGAAGAATTCGGCGGCGGAGATCGCCAGCGGTTGCCTGGCCACGATGGCGATCATCGAGACGACGCGCCAGGACGGCCGGGCGCTCTACACGGGCTCTCCACTGAGCGCGTTCCAGAGCGAGGTGGGCGCGTTGGGCCCCTATTGGGGCCCCGCTGGCCTCACTGCGGACGGGGCGGACAACTTCGCCCGCCTGCCTCAGACCGAGCGGGGGCACGGCCGCGCGCCCACGCAGGCGATGAGGGCTATATCATCCCAGAACACAACGGCACCCTGCCAGGTTACCTGCCCCCGCCCGCCTGCCCGAAGCACGCGCGCGCGCCCTGGGCGGTTTCGGAGCGATCTCTATAGACAAGGCCCCCGCTGCAGGTTGGGCGCAGATCTTGGCCCGCGACGCCTCCCGCGAGCTGCCTACGGACCAGCCCGCTGGCACCCCTGCAGCGGGGAGCGACTTCGGCCCCAAGGTGCCGATCCAGCGACGCCGGGGACAAGCAGGAGAAGTTGGCGGCTGAGATCTCCTGCTGTCGTCTGGCCGCGACGGCGATCTTCGGAATGTTCTTCCACGACGGCTTCACCGGCTCTGCGCGGGCCGAATGAGCGCTCCACACAGGCCCCCAGCCGCGCGCGGTCGAGGGTGAGCTGGGCGCGCAGGACCCGATCGGCCTCTGGGATCCCGCCGGCCCCACTGCGGATGGTAGCACGGAGAGCTTCGCCCGCCAGACAGAGATGAAGCACTGTTTGAGCGCGCTGACGGCGATCGGCCACACTGCGCCCGAAACCACAGGCATGCCGCCCGGCTCCTCGTCGCCTCCTGCGATCCTGAAGCTCTTGGACATATTGGAGGGGCTCGGGGTGGTGTCTCAGGTTACGGACATCCCGAATTGAGCTCGCGACGATCCCCCGGGTCTCCGCGGTAGACTGGGTGCCGATCGTGGCGCGCGGCACGCTTGGCGAGTCGTTCCAGGCCCACCCCGCTGCCGCTGCCGGCGGCGGCGGCATCCAGGCGCCGGCGCCCTGCGACGCCGGGGGGCAGCAGAAAACCCACTGGGGCCCTAGCGATATCAAGGCTGAGGGCAGCGCCCGGAGGTCCCAGGGACAGACCCCCCACGTTGCTACGCACCTTGCTGGGAGCCCCCGGGCGCCTTGATCGCCCCGCCCTGGCCCCGCTTCCCCGCCTCGCCCCCCGACGGAGGGGGCGAGAAACAGAGGGCGTCGACGGCGGGGATCGTCGCCGCCCACCCAGCCACCGTTGCGCACGTCGCCGAGAGCCCCCCCTAGGCGCCCGGCTCGCCCCGACAAGCCGCGGCCACCGCGCGCCGCCCCCCCGACGGAAGAGGCGGCAAACAGAGAACGTCGGCGTTTCGCGATCCCGAGGACGGCCTTGGCGACCCCCCCCCCGCTCGGGCGGCAGCAGGCCCTCCGCACGTCGGGGCAGAGGGCCCCATCACTCTCTGACATCGCACCTATTCGGCGCCCCCCCCGTTCCCAGGCAGCCCAAGGGCGCGCACCGCCGCCCCCCCCCAGCCCCCCCCCTCCCGTTGAAGACGGAGCAGTTAACGTCACATGTAGTGCCCCACTCGAAGCGACGGCCTCAGGCGCGCCAGGCGATGGCGCCGACGCCGCGACCCCCCCCGCCGGACCGGGGAGCAACCCCCGAGCCCCGAGGGGCGCGCAGGAGACCAATCGAGCTGGCGAGACGGAGGGCACAGGTGCCCCGGCGGCAGCCACTACGCGGGAGGTGACGTTCGGATCCCCCCAGCCGCATTGCGGAGGCCCACCAATCCAGCGGCGCTGACACCGACGGACGCGCGACTAACGGCCGAGCGGACGCCGTCCCCACCCTCGGCAGGATCGTCGGGCCTCTCACCGAGCAGGCGCGCAGACCCACCGCCCCCCCAGCCCAGATGGAACAGGGGCAGAGGCACAGGCAGTGCTGCAGGCGCCTCAGACCGACGGCACGCGGGGTCGCGGGCGCGGGGGGGCGCCCCCCCCGACACACCCAGCGGCGCGCAACACGACGGAGATGGGCGGAGACCCACTTGCGGAGCCGACGCTGGCAAGTCTTCCCAGGGGGTCCTCTCCTTGCCGCTGCGCCCCGTGCCGAAAGCTCTCCCAGGGCGCCTGACTCGCCCAGCCCGACGACTGAGTTGCCCCCCTGTCGGAGGAGGAGATGCACAGAAGAGGGCCGGCGGCCCTGACGGCGGGAAGCAGGAGAGGTTGGCGGCGAAGACCACCAACAACCCACTTGCAGCGAGCGCCCCTGGTAGAGGGGGCGAGGAGCAGAAGGGGTTGACTACGGGGACCTCCAACTACCCCAAGCCGCGGATGCCTGCGCCGATAGGAAGCAGAGGCGCCCCCACGGTGGACAAACGAACTCTGTGCACGGACCACCCGAACCACAGCTGCGCCGTCCTGGACCCGGCGGCCAGCTGGGCCCCCACCCTCCGGGGCCCCGCCGGGCTCAGGAAGGGCCTGTTTGGCGACGCCTCTGCCAGGGTGCGCGGGGGCACGAGGGTTGCGGGCGCGGGGAGAGGGTCGGCCTCGCCGACACGGAAGGATTGGAGAACGGATAGGCACACCTCCGTGGATACCCCGCGCGCTCTTCGTCGCCACGGCCGGAAATCGGCCCTCGGACGCGCCGCCCTACGCACGCAGATCGCATGCCGCAGCCCAGACGGAGCGGCGCCCGGCAACCCATCTTGCGCCCCGCCGAGACCACCCGGCCGCGGGGCAGCGCCGACGGGCATCGCGATTGGCACCCCCCCTCTTCCACGGTCGCTTCTCTTCACCCCCCCGCCCAAGCGACGACAAACGGTGGCAGCTCCAGCACCGAGGATTACCACGGCACCCCCCAGGGCGGGGAGCGTGCCCCCCCCGCCCCAGGTGTCTGCTGCCACGACCCCCTCAATGCCAGCGGAGCCCTGGCCGCCACAATCAAGAGGACACAGCGAGCCCGCGGCAAAACCCCGCGCGGCCAGGGCCAGGCATTGTTCTCAGCGTGGCGGGGGCATCAGGGACCCCGCCCGACGCGACGCCGCCTACCTTCGCAGCTTCCTCCACCTCCTGGCCTCGTCGCTGGCCTGATTCTCGCGCGGCTGCACCGCTTCCAGAAGGACGCAGCAGGCCCTCCGCGCGCCGGGTCGCCCCAGGCACGGAGCGCGCCTCTGGCTCCAGGAAGGGCCCCATCTCATTCGACCCCCTGGCACGCTTGGCGGTGCGAAGGCCGACGCGGATGGGCGGCTTTCCTGAGTCGCCTTTTCCTCGCCGCCGCGCGCCTTGCCGAGGGCTCTCCTGGGGCGCCTGACTCGCCCCGCCCGTCGTCGGCCTCGCCGAGGTGCCCCCCCGTCGGAGGAGGAGATTTTCTGGGGATGGCTGGCAGCCCTGGAGACGGGAAGCCAAAGTGGCTGCCGGCGGAGTCCACCAACGACCCCCGGGCCACATGCCTCCCCAGCGGAGGTGGCGGGAAGAAGAAGGGCCCCGCCGGGACTGCCGCGACTGTCGCCAGCACCGAGGATTACCGCAGTACCCCCCAGGGCGGGGTGCACCCCCGCCCCTGGCGTCTTCTACCACTACCCCCATCAATACCGTTTGCGCCCTTGCCGCCGCAGTCTGGAAGTCTCAGCGCGCTGGCGCTGGACCAAATGCGACCTGGGCCAGGCACTGTACCCTGCGCGGCGGGGGCATAAGGGCCCCAGCCAGCACTACGCTGCATTCCCTCGCAGGCCCCCCACACACACAGGCCGCGGCAGGCCCTCCGCGCGCTGGATCGCTCCGGGCATGGAATGCGCCCCTGGCTGCGGGGAGGGCCCCATCAATTTCCGACCGTCCACCTATTCGGTGCCGCCCCTCCTTTCTGCAGACAGCTCACTGCCCCATACCGCCGCCCCCCCGTGTCGAGACGGAGCAGGAACGGCACCCTCGACCGTGGGTCGGCCCGCTAGCCCCCACCCGGACCTTTCGGCCCCCCCCTTTTGCTTGGCTTTCAGGTCAGCACGCGGTTGCTGCAACGCAGCCGTGGCGCCCTGCATTGCCATCCGCCCCCCCCGCGCCTCGAAGGTCAGCAGATCTCGGCACCCCCCCGCCCACTGGCTGGCCCGCCCCTGCTCCGCGCCGCCCTCCACCGATGGAGCGGCTCTGCCTCTCTGTTTCGCGCCCTTCGCCTACACGCCAGCCGCTCTTGCCGCGCTCATCGCAGCACACTCGCGGCGGCCAGCGCTCGGCCTCACCCCTCTCCCAACGCGCCTCGCAGGTCACCAGATCTCGGCGCTCTGCCCAGACGCGGGGTTCGCCAGCACCGCCGGCTCCCCCCTTTAGGCGGTGATTGCATCATCACGTAACAGGCATTTCTCCTTGCAGCCGTTTGCTGATTGTCCAACGTCAGCCCCATCTGGTTCTCCGATGGGCTGATATTGATTGGCTGGTCTGGACGTTCCATGCTTGTCCATTCGTGGTACCGCTCCCCCACGCGGCTCTGCCCCGCTGCCGTCGGGCTGCCTTCCCCCCCAGCTGCTGCCCGGCGCCGCGGCTGGCCCCCCCCCCCCAGCGTCCGCCCCGCCGCAGCCAGGACTTGCCTGAGCGGGCCCGGCGGCTTCCTCTCTTCCCGTTGCGCCTGGGTCTCCTCCCCCCCCGAGCGTTGCGGCCCCATCTGCATCTAGCGCGCCCCACTGATGGCCGATCGCCCGAGCAGCAACCTCTGCCCAGCCGCCGACACAAAAAGTGGTGTGCGTCTGTGCGTGTGTGCGTGTGTGCGTGTCTGTTCGTGTGTGCGTGTGTGCGCGTTTGCGCGTATGTGTGTGTGTGTGTTGGATGCATGCGAGTGTGAGTGTGAGTGTGTGTGTGTGTGCTGCTGTGTGCTGCGTGTGCGATGCGTGCGTGTGTGCGTGCGTACGTGTGTGCGGTGTGTGTGTGTGTGCGTGCGTGTGCGTGCGTGTGCGTGTGTGCGTGCGTGTGTGCGCATGTGTGCACGTGTGAGTGTGTGTGTGTGTGTGCGTGTGCGTATGTATGCCGGAAGAGGCTCGCTCTCGACCCGCGGATCAAAAAAGTGCGTATGTATGTGTTGTGCGTGTGTGTGTGTGTGCGCGCTGTCCGTGTGTGTGCTGTGCGCGTGTGTGTGTGTGTTTGCTGTGCATGTGTGTGCGTGTGTGTATGCGTGCGTGCGTGTGTGCGTGTGTGCGTGTGTGTGTGTGTATGTGTGCGCGCGTACGTGTGTGCGTGTGTCCGTGTGTGCGTGTGTGCGTAAGTGCGTAAGTGCGTGAGTGCGTGCGGTGTGTGTGTGTGTGTGTGCGTGTGTTCGTGCGTGCGTGTGTGCGTGTGTACGTGTGTGGGGGCGTGTGAGTTTGAGTGTGTCTGTGGGTGTGTGTGTGTTGTGTGTGTTGTGTGCGGCGTGTGCGATGTATGGTGTGTGCGTGTGTGCACGTGTACGCGTGTGCGCGTGTGCGTGTGTGCGCGTTTGTGCGTGAGTTCATGTGTGTGCGCGTGCGTGCGTGCGTGTGGGCTGTATGTTGTTTGTGTGCGTTGCATGATATGTTTGTGTTGTTGTATTGTGTGTAGCGTGTGTGGTATGTGTTTTGTGCGTTGTGTGTGTGTGGGTTGTGTATGTTGTGTGGTGCGTGTTGTGTGTTCTGTGTGTTGCGTGTGTGTGTGTGCGTGTGTGTGCGTGAGTGTATGTGTGTGTGTGCGTGTGGGCGTGGGTGCGTGTGTGCGGTGTGTGTGTGTGTGTGCGTGCGTGTGCGTGTGAGTGTGTGCGTGTGTGTGTGGTGTGCGTGTGGGTGCGCGCGTGCGTGCGTGCGTGCTTGCGTGCATGCGTGCGTGCGTGTATGTGCGCGCGCGTATTTTCATCGGTGCCACTATGTCAGACGCATTCGTCCTTTGCATTAGCGCGCACTGGGTGGAAAAAGTATGCGTTGTCGTGTGTACCAAATTTGTGTAGGTGTGCATGTGTGGGGTTTGCTGGATGTGGTGATAGTTTCCAGCGACGATTTGAGGCTTGGCCGTTAACGTTGGCGTGCCGACCAGAGGGATGTTGCATGAGACCGCAATTTGCATCCGGCGGGCCGCTGTCTTTTGGCGGCGCAATGGAGTTGCGCACAAAGCGCACGTACCAGCTGCAGGAGTCCAGTCACATCTAATCCACAGCGTCATAGCGCAGCCAGCGACTAGCCTGTGGCGGCTGGATGATCGCAACAGCCCGCCGACAAAACAGCGTGCGTTTGTATGCGTGTGTTTGTGTTTGCGCGTGTGCCTGTCGGTCGGTCGGCCTGCGTGCATATTACATGCGCATCTTGTGTGTTGTCCAACAGGGCGTAGAAAATGTGCTTGCAGCCAGGCAGCACCCTAGAACCTCGTCTGTGCATCCCTCTGGTTAGGGAGCGTCCCCGCGCACCGATCCAGAAATGCTTTCACATGTTGGACCAAGTCATTGCTGCGTTGGTGGCCCAAGCAGAACGGAGTGCCAAAGTCAGAGGCTGGGGCAGGAGAACGTGGCACGTACCCCAACCGTTCCAGGCGCCACCCCCGTCTAGAGGACTGCATGATGAACGTCACTCTAGCATGTAATCAGTTTCCCACGAATTCCATGCAATTGTTACTGCCTGGGACGATTCCTCTACCTCTACCACTACATGCACTCATTGACTGTCCATCGGCGTACCCGAGAAGACTGACGTTGTTGTTGCCCATATCTGGCGTGGTTGGGCTCTTGTGCGAGGAGCCCGCCGAACGAAATGATCTTCGCTGCTGTGTGATGACCGAGTTGAGACGAGGTTCATTACTGATCGTTGTTATTATTATATCCGGCAGTGGATCTACTGGTGCAGATAAGGATAATCCAGCCGTTGGCCTCGCAACGACCATCGTCAAGATGGCAAGCGCAGGGTTAATTCGAATGCTTGGTCTTCTTACTTCATGTCCAGCACAAAGCACGCGCCGCATATTAGAGTTGCGCCCAGCGTCAAGAACTATATCCTCTTCGCCGTTGCTCAGGGTTTCTCCGGCACCTTCAGGAAGTCGACACCGCCTCTCAGTTCTTCATATGTCAGCGGGGTTGCACGCACAGTCTCGGCCCCACAGTCTTAGCCAAGCGGATGTTCAATATGCTTGCACAAAGTTTGTCAGGGTTTTGTTGTTTTTCTTGACAATCGTCTTGGCTCCAAGCTGTAGCTCGTTCATCTACCGTTAATGTTCTCTTATTGTGGCATTGCACCTGTTCGTATTTGCTTCATCCAGAGGGTGTCCTTGCGGTGCCGACCAGCACACGCGGTGGAGGGCCGAGCGATAGATTCGTGGATTGGGCAGCGATCTGATTGTTTGCATGATCGTGATCGTTGGCACCACAACGATTGTCATCAACAATGCCTTTACGTTGGTGCGCCAGGGTGCAGCGAAGCGCACACATGTTCGATCATGTGTGTCTTGTTTTTGCACAAGCGATTTGGTACCAGGTGGGTGCGCATACCTTTGCGACAGGAGCCATCAGCTGACAAGTCTTCTCCGCATTGAAAAGGTATCCATAACACACCTCGAGCAAGAC